GACCAACTCACTACTACTGTTACAACTGGTATCATGTGAACGACCAACTCACTAGTACTGTTACAACTGGTATCATGTGAACGACCAACTCACTAGTACTGTTACAACTGGTAACATGTGAACGACCAACTCACTAGTACTGTTACAACTGGTAACATGTGAACGACCAACTCACTAGTACTGTTACAACTGGTATCGTGTGAACGACCAACTCACTAGCACTGTTACAACTGGTATCATGTGAACGACCAACTCACTAGTACTGTTACAACTGGTATGTGAACGACCAACTCACTACTACTGTTACAACTGGTATGTGAACGACCAACTCACTACTACTGTTACAACTGGTATCATGTGAACGACCAACTCACTAGCACTGTTACAACTGGTATGTGAACGACCAACTCACTACTACTGTTACAACTGGTATCATGTGAACGACCAACTCACTAGTACTGTTACAACTGGTATCATGTGAACGACCAACTCACTAGTACTGTTACAACTGGTATCATGTGAACGACCAACTCACTAGTACTGTTACAACTGGTATGTGAACGACCAACTCACTACTACTGTTACAACTGGTATCATGTGAACGACCAACTCACTACTACTGTTACAACTGGTATCATGTGAACGACCAACTCACTACTACTGTTACAACTGGTATCGTGTGAACGACCAACTCACTAGTACTGTTACAACTGGTATCGTGTGAACGACCAACTCACTAGTACTGTTACAACTAGTATCGTGTGAACGACCAACTCACTAGTACTGTTACAACTGGTATCATGTGAACGACCAACTCACTAGTACTGTTACAACTGGTATGTGAACGACCAACTCACTAGCACTGTTACAACTGGTAACATGTGAACGACCAACTCACTAGTACTGTTACAACTGGTAACATGTGAACGACCAACTCACTACTACTGTTACAACTGGTAACATGTGAACGACCAACTCACTAGTACTGTTACAACTGGTATCGTGTGAACGACCAACTCACTAGTACTGTTACAACTAGTATCGTGTGAACGACCAACTCACTAGTACTGTTACAACTGGTATCATGTGAACGACCAACTCACTAGTACTGTTACAACTGGTATCGTGTGAACGACCAACTCACTAGTACTGTTACAACTAGTATCGTGTGAACGACCAACTCACTAGTACTGTTACAACTGGTATCATGTGAACGACCAACTCACTAGTACTGTTACAACTGGTATCGTGTGAACGACCAACTCACTAGTACTGTTACAACTGGTATCGTGTGAACGACCAACTCACTAGTACTGTTACAACTGGTATCGTGTGAACGACCAACTCACTAGTACTGTTACAACTGGTATTGTGCGCACAACCAACTGACGTTCTACTTACAGTATCGTAATTACCGAGGTGAAGTAAAACCTACCAACAGAAAGCTGAGCGCTGAACTTAGTCTCTGCTGCAAAGATCCTACTGTATGAAGCCAGGGGTATGACGGTAGCTGTCCGACTGATCTACACAGATCCTAACTGTATGACGCCAGGGGTATGACGGTAGCTGTCCGACTGATCTGCACAATTCCTACTGTATGACGCCACGGGTATGACGGTAGCTGTCCGACTGAGCGTTACACCGCGACAGGTCGCTGAAGCGACCAAACGATACACCTGGATCGGATGTCGTCAGCTGGTGATTCTGTACGCCATAGGCGAGCGTGAATTGCGGGTCAAAGTTCGACTTTGATTGAAATCGTGTTGTTTGATTGCTAGAGTTTCCGAAATTACGCGAGGATTTTCTGGACACAAACTAAACCGAATTTAGACTCTGTAATTAGGTCATGCGTCATCGCGATGTGTCTACAATTAAAATACAATTAGGTGTGTCTGTGTGTGTGGAGGGGGTGTATGTGTGTGTGTGTGTGGGGGGGGGGGGGTTGGTGAGTGAGTGGATATAAGACGTTCGTGTAGGGACATAAATCTGAGAAAGATATTTTCTGTTGTTGATTTGTTCGCTTGAAGACATTTTGACAGCAAATCTTTGTTGAATCATTATTTTTTTTAAAAAATGTGCAAATAAGCTGACCTAGATTGCCCCAGACCCTCGTTTAGGATTTTATATCTATAGAATGACGTCATTAAGTGTATTTTTCTCACGTCTTCAGAGATAACCAAACATAAGCTCGGATTGTGGCGTCTCAAATTGGTTTCAGTAGAGTCAGTACAGAGGAGTCAGTAGAGGCTTTATTGGAGTGAGTAGAGTCGAGTCAGTAGAGGCTTTAGTGGAGTGGAGTCAGTAAAGGTTTTAGTGGAGTAGAGTCAGTAATGGCTTTAGTGGAGTCGGTAGAGGCTTTAGTGGAGTGGAGTCAGTAGAATGGAGTCAGTAGTCTTTAGTAGAGTGAAGTTAGTAGAAGCTTTAGTGCAGTGAGTAGAGTCAGCAGAGTGAAGTAAGTAGGGTGTCTAAAGTGGACTAGCTACTAATTAGCCACGTAAAAATCAAGCAGCAATTGTTTTAATAACGTTAATCTGAGAAAATCATTTCTCTCCCTTCTAGCTGCTTGTTAATGAAAATGTCAATTTGTATGAGTGTAATTAGCATATGGATATAATGGGCAAGAGGAGTAGCACAGAACACGTGATTTTACACGTTGCTCACTTTAAATGTTCGCAGTGGTCCAGAAAAAGTGGGCTCAGGTCCCAGCGGTCCCAGTAGTCTCAGGTCCCAGTAGTCTCAGGTCCCTGTGTTCTCAGGTCCCAGTGGTCTCAGGTCTCTGTGGTCTCATGTCCCTGTGGTCTCAGGTCCCTGTGGTTTCAGGTCCAAGTGGTCCCAGTAGTCTCAGGTCCCTGTGTTCTCAGGTCCCAGTGGTCTCAGGTCCCTGTGTTCTCAGGTCCCAGTGGTCTCAGGTCCCTGTGTTCTCAGGTCCCAGTGGTCTCAGGCCCCAGTGGTCTTAGGTCCCTGTGTTCTCAGGTCCCAGTAGTTAGGTCCCTGTGTTCTCAGGTCCCAGTAGTTAGGTCCCTGTGTTCTCAGGTCCCAGTGGTCTCAGGTCCCAGTGGTCCCAGTAGTCTCAGGTCCCATTAGTCTCAGGTCCCTGTGTTTTCAGGTCCCAGTAGTTAGGTCCCTGTGTTCTCAGGTCCCAGTAGTCAGGTTCCTGTGTTCTCAGGTCCCATTGGCCTCAGGTCCCAGTGGTCTCAGGTCCCAGTGGTTTCAGGTCCCAGTGGTCCCAGTAGTCTCAGGTCCCAGTAGTCTCAGGTCCCTGTGTTCTCAGGTCCCAGTAGTTAGGTCCCTGTGTTCTCAGGTCCCAGTAGTCAGGTCCCTGTGTTCTCAGGTCCCATTAGTCTCAGGTCCCTGTGGTCTCAGGTCCCAGTGGTTTCAGGTCCCAGTGGTTTCAGGTACCTGTGGTCTCAGGTTCCAGTGGTCTCAGATCCCCGTGGTCCCAGCTCTGATGGGTACCAATAAGACATCCCTGAGCCAACCCAGCCGCCAATAGGTACCTGTCTTAAGTAATTGTGGACTGTAAAGACGGCTGGGCATGTAACAGTTTTTTTACTCCCCCCCCCCCCCCACCCACACATCCTTAACATGAGCACCGAATGACATGAACTTACTAACTAAACTCCGTCATCCAACAGATCTCAGACACACAGACAGCAACAAGAAGACATTCCTCAGTTAGTTACCGTCGCCCTATCAGTATGGTCGTCACCGCCCCACCCGCGTACACAATCTTTCATTCACATGTCATAACTAAAGGACATCTTGACACAAGTTGCTGACAATATTTGCTGACTGTCAACCGCTGACTTTAAGTCGAATAAATTGGATTGTTATCTGATCTAGACAGTGACTTTTTGCGGCGGTATACAGGGAATGTCACAGTGGCGGTATACAGGGAATGTCCCCGTGGCGGTATACAGGGAATGTCCCCGTGGCGGTATACAGGGAATGTCCCCGTGGCGGTATACAGGGAATGTCCCCGTGGCGGTATACAGGGAAAATGTCCCAAGGCTTACAAGTTACTCACAAGTTAGGCCTCTGGTCTGGTAAAACTGACAAGATACTAAAACTTGACTCACAAGTTAGGCCTCTGGTCTGGTTAAACTGACAAGATACTAAAACTTGACTCACAAGTTAGGCCTCTGGTCTGGTTAAACTGACAAGATACTAAAACTTTACTCACAAGTTAGGCCTCTGGTCTGGTTAAACTGACAAGATACTAAAACTTTACTCACAAGTTAGGCCTCTGGTCTGGTTCAATTAAAACTGACAAGATACTAAAACTTTACTCACAAGTTAGGCCTCTGGTCTGGTTCAATTAAAACTGACAAGATACTAAAACTTGACTCACAAGTTAGGCCTCTGGTCTGGTTAAACTGACAAGATACTAAAACTTTACTCACAAGTTAGGCCTCTGGTCTGGTTCAATTAAAACTGACAAGATACTAAAACTTGACTCACAAGTTAGGCCTCTGGTCTGGTTCAATTAAAACTGACAAGATACTAAAACTTTACTCACAAGTTAGGCCTCTGGTCTGGTAAAACTGACAAGATACTAAAACTTTACTCACAAGTTAGGCCTCTGGTCTGGTTAAACTGACAAGATACTAAAACTTTACTCACAAGTTAGGCCTCTGGTCTGGTTAAACTGACAAGATACTAAAACCTTACTCACAAGTTAGGCCTCTGGTCTGGTTAAATTAAAACTGACAAGATACTAAAACTTTACTCACACGTTAGGCCTCTGGTCTGGTAAAACTGACAATATACTAAAACTTTACTCACAAGTTAGGCCTCTGGTCTGGTTAAATTAAAACTGACAAGATACTAAAACTTTACTCACAAGTTAGGCCTCTGGTCTTGTAAAACTGACAAGATACTAAAACTTTACTCACACGTTAGGCCTCTGGTCTGGTTAAAACTGACAAGATACTAAAACTTTACTCACAAGTTAGGCCTCTGGTCTGGTTAAACTGACAAGATACTAAAACTTTACTCACAAATTAGGCCTCTGATATGGTTACCTACGTTGGTCTCTGGTCTGGTTACCTACGTTGGTCTCTGGTCTGGTTACCTACGTTGGTCTCTGGTCTGGTTACCTACGTTGGTCTCTGGTCTGGTTACCTACGTTGGTCTCTGGTCTGGTTACCTACGTTGGTCTCTGGTCTGGTTACCTACGTTGGTCTCTGGTCTGGTTACCTACGTTGGTCTCTGGTCTGGTTACCTACGTTGGTCTCTGGTCTGGTTACCTACGTTGGTCTCTGGTCTGGTTACCTACGTTGGTCTCTGGTCTGGTTACCTACGTTGGTCTCTGGTCTGGTTACCTACGTTGGTCTCTGGTCTGGTTACCTACGTTGGTCTCTGGTCTGGTTACCTACGTTGGTCTCTGGTCTGGTTACCTACGTTGGTCTCTGGTCTGGTTACCTACGTTGGTCTCTGGTCTGGTTACCTACGTTTGCTGCACGTACTGATCGCTCACGCAGAGAAATCTGTGCTATAACAATTTCCCTCCAACTGTTGGCGGTTAATTAATCCATTAACAAAAAAAAATTCTAGGCTGACATATTCTCGACCCGCGGGTGGTTTGTGGCCCGCATAGATCTAGCAGGTGACCTGGGACGATGCCCCCCCCCCTCCAACATTTCGTAAAAGCAAAAATAACGGCAATATTTGAAGAGAAAAGACACTAGAATTAATTTTTAAAAAGCTTGTAAAAAGGAAATTTATCATCGAAAGTAAAATATGAATATGTAAAAGTAAAACATCTTTCTACTAATGCTGGCTACACAACTAATGGGTTGCTTCCAGTATAAATACAATACGAATATTTTTTTATTACTTCTGTTTTTCAATATAATAAAATATTTTAACATGCAACAAAACGGTACATATTATTTGTTCTATTTGTATTGATAATTAGTGATTTTGTAATCATCGCAAAAACTGCACACGTTTTTATAAGGTTTTATTGAACTTGATTACTTGTCAGTACTTTTGTATGAATCCAGCCGTCTTTTTCTTGCTTCGTCATAAGGTCTAAACTTGCCAACGTAATTTTACCCGCTTCATTACCGCAACCATTTGTTTCAAACTTGACACGCATGTTCTACAGTGAGATGTGCTCACCGACACGCAGGTTCTACAGTGAGATGTGCGCACCGACAGTCATGTTCTACAGTGAGATGTGCTCACCGACACGCATGTTCTACAGTGAGATGTGCTCACCGACACGCAGGTTCTACAGTGAGATGTGCTCACCGACACGCAGGTTCTACAGTGAGATGTGCTCACCGACACGCAGGTTCTACAGTGAGATGTGCTCACCGACACACAGGTTCTACAGTGAAATGTGCTCACCGACACACAGGTTCTACAGTGAGATGTGCTCTCACCGACACGCAGGTTCTACAGTGAGATGTGCTCACCGACACACAGGTTCTACAGTGGAGATGTGCTCACCGGACACGCAGGTTCTACAGTGAGATGTCCTCACCAAAAGACACGCAGGTTCTACAGTGAGATGTGCTCACCACTTGGCGAATTCAAAATTACCTGTAATTAATAATGTCGATTTTTAAACACTGCTTCGGTGATGAGAAATGTAGATCCACTGTTACATAAGATTGATGTCATGTCCTTTTGGAGGTACGTCCACTGTTACGTCAGCGAGTACAAGAACAAATAAACCAGGTGTATAAGAAGTCGTTGACCTTCACCTTTCACTCTTTTCAGCCCAAATATGAAACTGAGTTTATCAAATATTTTATGCTGTTTGCTTAATTAAACAAATTAGCGCGTCTCCAGCGAGTCAATGGGCTTGGTTGGTAGGGGAGGTAATCGGTACAGAAATAAGACAGTCTTAAAAGCCATGCTAGGTCTACATCTATATCCTGGTTCTAGAGTATGTCATTGTCTGTCAGAGGAATGAGGTATTTTGAAATATTTCTGGTTTATTTACATAGTGACGCAGCCTGGTATAAACTTGTAACGCCCAGGTTTTGAGAGTGTTGACAGTTATGCAGTGGCGGAACTAGAAAAATAGGGCTACCCCCGCAAAAATTTTTTTATGCCCCCCCCCCTAATAATACATATATATATATATATATATATAATATATATATATATATATATATATATATATATATATATATATATATATATATATATATATATATATATATATTAATACTAATAGTTTCGCTGTCTGTCTATCTAACTATCTATCTATCTATCTATCTATCTATCTATCTATCTATCTATCTATCTATCTATCTATCTAATCTATCCTATCTATCTATCTATCTATCTATCTATCTATCTATCTATCTATCTATCTATCCTATCTATCTATCTATCTACTATCTATCTATCTCTATCTATCTATCTATCTATCTATCTATCTATTATCTATCTATCTATCTATCTATCTATCTATCTATCTATCTATCTATCTATCTATCTATCTATCTATCTATCTATCTATCTATCTATCTATCTATC